CCACACACACACAAACTGGCTGTTTATTAAACTGCAGCTTATGTATCAGATGTATTGAAATGAAGATCTGAATGACTTAGCTACGCACGTGTGTGTGTTGTGGTCAGCTAATATATGCCACATAGCTAAAGGAAAAAAAAAACAGGCAGAAGGAGAGTTCATTAATATGCCCTATACTCCCTAAATTTTGAATGTGTAGGTTTGCAACTTGAATTGACATTGTGACATGGAGCAAGATATGCTTTTGGCACAAAATGTTAATGTTGGAAGATCAGTCTACAGCAGCAGTTCCCAAATTCTAGCAGATTGCATACCACCTATTTAAAATGATGCCGCCTTAAGTACTACTAGCAAATTTTTGTCATATAAAGTAGTAATAATAAATCTGTTAATGCGTACCACTGACAGGTTGTCTGCAAACCACTGGTTGTACCCGTACCATAGATTGGGATCCACTAGTCCACAGTTTTACTTTCTAATTTTATGCAGGTAAATTATTTTGGTAAAACTGGAATTTGATTTCTCATAATTTCTCATAATTTAACTTGGCCAACTGGGCAAAACATTATTGAATATCGGGAGTGAAATATGAAATCCATTTTGTTTCCTGTTAAAAATGGAAATGCCCTGCTGTCCTGAAGCAAACAAATTAAATACATGTTTTTCCAAAATCTGTGAAAAATGATGATCTTATTACAACAAAATTAATTTATTGATGACTCTATACAAGTGAATAACATAGTCGAATCCACAAGCTCTTTTTTCCCCCCATTTAAGGCAAGTGTGGGGATTAGTTTTAGATTCAACTAGAAGATGAAGTGTGGAGCAGAATGCTGCTGTGGCTCTAATCCAAGCTCAGGGTCAGAGCTGGAGCCACAGCAGCCCATGCCCCCAACCCAGCTTAACCTCAGGTATGTCTCCTATCGACTTCTGGCAGGGGACATGGAGTGTAGGGTAGCTCTGACCCAGTCCAGCCACGTGACAGTGGTGATATTGACAGCAGCTTCCCTGCTGTATAGCTGGGCTGGGGCTACTCTGTGCCCTGTACCCATGGCTGGAATGGGGCTGGAACTGTGCTTGATGGTAAGAGGCTGTAGGGGGCAGAACCTGCATTGGGCAGGTGGGGCTGTAGAGGCAGTGGTCTGTAGGCACTACAGGGAGGGGCAGGCAGCAGGGGAGGCAAATTGAGCGGAGGTGGCAAGGGGCAGGATTCAGGCTGCTTCAACCCACACCCATACCCCCTCCTTTCCTCCCTCTTGCGCTGCTTTCTTTGCTTCAGTAGTACTAGGGACAAATTTAAGACAACCTTCCAAAAGTTACTTCTCTACATGGAAAATTATAACACATCCATTTTCCTTGTATAGAATCTAATTATTAGAGGGTCATCTTAAATTCAGGGTTGTCTTGGATTCAGGCAAATACAGTAACTACAGAATTCACTAATAATAGTTTTTGATTGAAGCTATCCTAGCTTTTTTTTTCAGCATGATGTTCTCTATTATTCTTAAAACTTTCATTAGAACCAAACTTGTTGAAGAGTGATACAGTTTATAGAAATTCTGAAGACTTCTTACCTCCCCAGTAATGCAAATACATCACTAAAAAACTCTGAAGGAATTGCCATTTGTTTTCACTGGGATTTACCCCAGTATCATGAAGCTGGAGACACCTTGAAAAATAATGAGCAGAAAAATTATATTTGTGTATCCAATTTTATAGGAGTCATTTTCAAACTTTTCTTCTTAGCTTTTACACTATATTTGAGGAATGCTTGCTAATAAATGGATGTAGTATAGCTCCCCTGCTAGTGAGACTGGAAAAAATGTGACAGGTCCTAGGTATATAGACTACAGTCTCTTTTTATAATTGATTTTTGAATGCCATGCAGCATAACTTTTTGTTCCTCAGCTTTGGTTTAATAGTACTTTTGTTTTCATAAGTTTGAGATCACTAAGTTAAGTGGTTTAGAGGACACACTCATCAGGGTTTCTCCAAGTTGCTAAGGGCACAAGAAGACTTGCAAGGCAATCATAAACTGAAAAAATATACAAAAATATTGGGTATTGAATTAGAGGAAATGAGATGGTTTCAGAAAAGAAGATAATTGTCCTCTGTCTCCATAGTAAATATTCAAATGTAACTTGAAATGTCTGCTTTGTAGTTGAGAGAGCAATTATCTTTTTTGAAGCTGTATCAGGACCATGTTTCTAAGTGATTCAAGACCTAGTAAAAATGAGCAGCATAGTTTGGTTTAAAGCTTGGGGAGGCATCTTGAAGATTATATCAAATAGAATTAGCTTCCAAAACAAGGCATGTTCCTTTAGATTCATCTTGGTTTGGCTTAGCCTACCTTTTCCATAGAAGGTGATTAATTTATTTTTATTTATTTATTTACTTATTTTTTCTCATTAGAATATATTGGGACCTATAAACAATCTTTTCTTTTAGTAGGAACTGACTCGTTTCTACAATTTGATTGAGTTCAGAAAAAAAATTATGGTAGCACAAAAGAAAAGTGAACAGATGTTACAGCCTTTTGCACCATACATGCCTGAATTTGTGAACATGATCATACTAAGTAATAGTTTGTGCTGCCCTTGTTGTGGTTGATGTCAGTTAGATTATTATGTTTGCTCTCCAGCCACCTCTAGCAGGTGCTTCAGTGGTCTGATCCTGCATTTAGGAAATTGTAAAATGAATTCCATTGGAGTTCCCTGGAGAGTGCAGTGGGAGAAGGAATCTGACAAAGAACTTTGTTTTGTTTTGTCATTAGTTTTTTGATTTGCACAGAAACTCAAACTTTAACAGCAGTCTGAAATATGGTGTTCTGTTTCAATTATGCTGTTTGTAGTATGTGTAAAAAGGGTATGGATCAAAGATGACAGCAAAGACAGCCAATTGTTAATCACACTGAGGCTTACCCTGAACTCCGATGAAACTGAGTTGTTCACGATGGCAGTGTTTGTACTTGGGGGAAGAAAAGATTTTTTTTTGCTTTATACTATACTTGGCAGGTCACGTATGCTGTGCAAGTTGAACTTCTTTTGAACATTTAAGAAAGCAAAGGCATATCTATTGATTCTGAATCTCTTATTTTTAGGACATAT